TGCTCTAAACCCCCGCCCCCCACCCAGACCCACTCAAGGACAAAGTTCCGAGAGGCTCAGCCCTACCCTTTCACCCTGCACACGCCACCCACCTTCTGCACTCCCAGAGACCCCCCCCACCCCCCACCCAGCCACACCCAGGACTGCCTGCTGGAGTGCCCACCGCCCTGGGCCTCGCTCCCAGACCATGACCCTCCATGCCCGGGAGGTTGATGTGGGATCAGCCCTCCCAAAGGCGTCTGGCAAAGTGTGCTGCTTAGTTGGGGTCCTCAGTTGGCTGAGGAACACTGATTTGCAGGGAGACTTGGCCCACCTTCGTGGCAGCTCTGGGAGCAAGGCCCTGCCACAGTCTGCGCAGTAAGTGCGGGGAGGCACAGGGCAAAGTCGGGACAGGATGGGTGGGGGACCGTCCTGGGAAGAAGGGCTTGCTGGGGCACCAGGAGGGCGGTCTCTGGTCTGCCTGAGGCCAGGAGCTGCCCAGGGTAGGGGTGGCATAGAGGGCCATGTGAGGAAGGCCTTTGTCCCTGTCACATGTCCCACGTAGGAGTGCCAGGAAGCCTGGTGTATCCAGGCAGCCCTTGGCTGGGGGCTTGGGGGTGGGCTCATCCTAAAGAGGACCCCCGGGCCCTCAGTCCCAGAAGCCTGGTAAGAGGTTCTTCCCTTCTTGCTCTGCCAAATCCTTGACCTTTCCCCCTTCCCCACCCTGGCCTGAGGCCGGCCGGCACTTGGGGGCAGGGCAGGCAGGCGGCTATATTTGGTGGAGCCTGAGAGCTGACCTCAGGGCTATTTTCGGCAGGGAGGGAAGGAAGCTGAGTGGGGCCAAAAGAGCCTGGCCTTCAGCCCAAGCATGCCTGTTAATGGAGGGGGGTGAGCTGCAGCAGGCATCTGAGAGAATGTGCCCACCTGAGTCAGCCAGGGCTAGGGGGATCCTGGAAACCCCCCGCCCGGGGCAGAGGCTGGGAGAGGCAGGGTCTGGGCTGCAGATGACCAGGCTCCCCCGAGAAGCTGCACCCCGGGATTTCCTCTGCAACCCCAATCCCAACAACCACTGTCCACACCCTCTGGCCCCCTTCCGCTGTGGCCCGCAGGCCTGGCTGAATGAGTGCTGGCTGAGCTGGCCTTGGACCCAAAGGCTGAGCCCATCAGCCTGAGAGTCTCCACAGGACCCTCTACCCTCTGACTCCACCTGAGGCGGGAGAGAGAGGTCCACCCTGGGCTGAAGAGCTCCCTCCTTGATTTGAGGAGTGGTCTGCAGGTGCCCCCAACCCAGTGAGGCATTGGGACCCCCAAGGGCCCAAGAATTGGCATTATTTAAAGGGTACCCAGCCTAGGTGAATCTCATCCCTGGCCTGCTTTGGGAAACAAGAGTCCACCCAGCACAGCACCGCCCAGCTGGGGATATGTCTGCCCAGCACATATCCAGCCCTTATCCTGGATATGAGGGCTACCTGACCAGTGTCCCCAGCTCTGGTGTCTGTAGAGGGGCCCAGGACCCCCTTCTAGCTGTCTGGTCCTAAGTTGGCAGGATTGTGGCAAATGCCTATGTGGTGGGATTGTCCCTGGAACTCAGGAGCCCATGGCCCCCAAACGTGGCCCTCATCAGGGGGCCTGTGCTGGAGAGTCTGCCTGGAGAGCTTCACCCAGTGCCTCCAGAGCTCAAGGGATTGGGAGAGCCTGCGTGAGCCTCAGTAGGGGTCATCAGGCAGAGCTGGTTGGACCTCCCAGTAGGTCCGGGAAGATGGGCCTCATCCTGGGTGGGAAGGAGCTGCACCCCAAGGAGTGTCTGGTTAAGAACTCAGTCCCCACAGGAGACCTGGGTGTCTCCTCCCCATGAAGCCCAATTCAGTGTGAGCCCTTCCCTGGGGGAGGCTGGGAGCAAGCCAGACCCCAGCCCTGAGCTCCCACAGGTCCAGCAGGACCCCCCAGAAGGGTCAGCCTCGGGGAAATGACCCAGCTCCCCCACAGAGCTGGCTGGAAGGCCAGCAGAGGCCTCTGGATGCGGAAGCCAGCTGGAAGAAAGGGTGAACGTGGGCCTCCAGCCCTAGCCACCCTTGGCCTCCTGACTCAGAGGGAGAGGCTTGGAAGCAGTTGTTAAATTGCTTGTGTAAGACCTTTGTCCTGGGTCAGCAGGTGTCCCAGGCCACAGCTGGGAGGAGCATAGGATCAGTCCTCCCTCCCCTCAGTGGGTGATGAAGTTAGAGGCCTGCCTGGCCACCTGTGGGCTCTGGGGTCACTGAGAGCAGGGACCTGGGCTTGCTGCAGTATGGGGGTGCCTCTTATACCTGCCTTCTGTCCCCATCTGTCCATCCTCCGCTGTGACCTGGTCCAAACCCAATACCCACAACATTGCACCCGGCCCGCAGGATAATGCCCCCGCCCCACCCACCTACCCACAGGCCCCTAGCCGGCTGGGCTGCCTTCAGAACCCAGCACAGAGCCCTCGGGAGGCCCTCAACTACTACAGGGCCGGCCCCTGGTGGGAAGCCTGTGTCACTGAACTCGAAGGGCAGTGCCAGTGGGGACGGCACTCACGAGGACGGGAGCTGACCTCTGTGGCTTCCCTTGTCCCGGCTGCAAGCACTCCGCGTCCACCCTGCAAGGTGTGAACCATTACCACACCCCCATTACAGGTGAGGAAGCTGAGGCCCGGCGTGACCGGGGTGCCCAAACACCACACCCCTGCCCCACTGCGCAGAGTCTTCTCCCACCAGCTGGGAGACTGCATCCCTGAGCCCGGGGCGGGGCAGCCGAGGAGGGGGATTGTAAACTGAAAGCGATCTGAGCCTGTGAAATACTTCTAAGAGCTTAGGGTCAGGAAAGCTCTAGAAGGATAAGAGTGGAACCAGAGATCCGAGGAGCCCTGAGGCCCCCAGGCAGGCGTCCAGCCCTGTGTCTGTGTCCCGGACCGTGGGCTGGGGTCACAGAGAGGATGGCACAGGGGCAGCGGGCTGCCCCCAGGCAGTGGGCATGTCCGCTGTGGGGATCCCTCCAGCGGAAGTGAGTACCCCCTCAATGTGGATAGATGCTCGGGCTCCCCGAAGCTCTCTGTGGTGTCCCAGGTCTGGAAGCCGCCTGAGCGTCTCGGTGCCGTACCGCCGCCTGTGGCTACCCTCAGAGCCCAGCTGAGGAGCTGAGGCTGCAGGCGCTGACCCCGGGGGCACAGGTTGGCGTCTGCAGCCAGAGGCAGCTCCAGAGCTGTGCATGCAGCCTAGCCCCCGCTGCGTGCAGAAGGCACCAGGAAGGGGTGCATCCAGAGCGCCAGCCCCGCCAGCCCCACCAGCCCCGCTGCTGGTGCCCTGGTGCTGGGCGGGGGATGGGGAGGCTGGACCAACCGCCCCATCTCCCTTGGCAGTGGCTGATTTGTTTGTTAAACATGTATCTTACCTCTGAAAAGGGTACAAAGAAACTGGGACACCTCTTTCTTTCTCCTGCCCCCCCTCAGTGAGTTCTGTTGGGTCCTACAACTCGGGGTGCCTGGAGGTCACCACTCCTGTCACTGAGCCTCAGCTGTCTCATTGATAGAGTGGGAATGATGGTTCCCGCCAAGCCGAGGCCTCGGGGGGGTGGACGAGGCTGTGGGTGTACGTGCCCAGCCCAGGGCTTAGCACACAGGAGGCCTCCGATGGACAGACGGACGGATCGGTGGGAGGTCCCTCTTGCCTTCATGCCACTTGCGAGGTCTGGGCACTGCCAGCAGCTCATGCTAACCCCTAGCCCTGATTCTGACCTTGACCAGCATGAGAATCCGCCCTCGGGCCAGGGTGCCCTCCTTGGCTCACTCTAGCCCTCAGAGAGGCCCCCTCAGTGTCTCGAGTGTGTGAATAAATGGATGAATAAATGTGTCTGCCCTTGGTCAGTCCTCACCAGCCACCTTGGCCCGAGCTCAGCTCCCTCTGTCCGGTCTGGTAGGGCTGGTCCTGCCGGCTGTGTGGGTCCCGGACTCCAGTTCACCCTGGCTCATCCAGTTGTCCCTGGAGCCAGGGCTGGCCCAGGGCAAGGGGACGACCCGCGGGAGGGGAGCGAGCCGGAGAGGCAGGAGGTTTCTGGGGCTCCAGGGAAAGCGGCAGGCCCACCAACTCACCCAGCCGCTTCCTTAGAGAGGGGTCCCTAGAGAAGGCTGGAGAGGGCCGGGGGAGGGAGGCGCGACCCCAGGAACCCACCTACCAGCCCGGCTTTCAGGCTCCTCCACCTGGGAGCAGGGTCTGAATCCACCCAGCCCCCAGCCCTGAGGAGCCCACCAGATAGAGTGGCCAACAAACACCACTCAGCAGCCAGAGCTTACGCACAGAGCTCCGCGGGTGGGCAGCGTCGACGCCCCGTGGATGCCCCCATCCTGCTCCAGCCCCCGCCAGCTGTGGCAGAACGGTGTGGCTGGCGGACGTGTGCCCTTTTGGCTCTCACTCATCATGGGACCCTTTTAAATACCTCTCTGCTACCCGTCCCCCCGCCACCGGGCAAACAGCTGCAGGTCTTGGGTCCTGCAGTGTGAGCTCGGTGACGCCATGAGCCTGCATGACTCCTAGCAAGGCAGGCGAGCCCCCCACGGCCACTTCTGGACAAAGGCCCATCTGACAGGCAGGACCACCGAGGACGCCCATGTTCTGCCTCTGCGGAGAGTACTGGTCATCGAACACCCAGGGGGCAGTTTTGGCTGGCCCTAAGCTTCGCTGGCATGTTGAGGGGGAAGGGTGAGCTCAGGCCCGTGCTGGACCCTCGTTCCAGTTCCTCGCAGGAAAACCAGAGTCTGTGAGCTGAGGGTCCGCCCTGTGCCAGGTGGTCTTACCTGATCCCCACCCTGCAACCTGATGGGCAAGGAAGGAGGTCTGCGTGATAAACTGGGCTTGCCCTCGGGCCTGGGGGCTGGGTGGGCCCCAGCCTGGCTTCGTGGCTGAGTCAGCTGCCAGGTGAGTCAGACGGCGGAGTTGGCGGGTGCGGGGTGGGAGCAGCAGGTATAAGATGGCAGCCGGGTATCCCGGGAGCCAGCCTCACCCCAGGAGACCATGCGGCTGCTCCCTGGGCTCTTGCTGGCCGCTGCCTTGAGCCTGGAGCTGGGTGAGTCCAGGGGCCACCTCCTCCCCCACTGCTCTAAGCCGGTCCCCCAACCCCAGTCACCACTGAGCCCTGCACTGTGGCTCCTCACCCCAGGGAAGCCCAATTCCTGCGCCCTCCGCCCCTTTGGGCGCTAGACCCTCCCCACCTGCCACCTCCTACCCGCTGCTTGTGGACAGCACTCAATAGTTCTCCCCCACCCCTCCTGGACCCACAGGCCCATCAGCCAAGCGCTCAGTGCTGTCCTTGTCCCTGCAAAGGCTGCCCACCTCCCAGCGCCCTGCCCCGAGCTTGACAGCCCTGTCCCCCCCACCTCCCCCACAGGCTTCTCCGACTCAACAGTGACCCCCCCACAATGAGTGTGAGGGCCCTCTTCCAGCTCTACCTGGCCTGCACCTGTTTCCTAGGACCACCCTCTTCTGGCCCCCTCCTAAATCTCTTCTGGCTGAGACGCGGGTCTCTCCTCCCTTGCTCAGGCTTCCTTCTGGGGCCAATTCCCCACTCTGGCCATTGCCGTATTCGGCTGTGCCCAGGTCTGCTATCGCTGGCCCCATCCTGTCCAGCTCCAGGCCCATTGGACCAGATGCCTTCCTGAGGGCTTCTTGGGGACCTCTCCTCAAAGGGGGCTGCCCACAATCTGGTCTCACCTTCCTACCGCACCCGAGGTGGGATGGCATCTCCAGCCGCCCACCCAGAGGCCCGAACAAAACCAGCTAGACCCCCAATCCAACCGCAACCAGCCCCACCCCACCCCCAGCCCTCACCTGGCAAGGCTTCTGTCTACATCTGGGTCAGCACCCTCCCCATGGCCTGCGGCCCTAAATGAGATAGAGCGAGTGTCTGGATGGCCCCTGGCATGGGCATCGGGCTCCACCCAGCACTGGGATCTGCCGCTGTCTCACCTGCGGGAACCCTCCCCAGGCCCGGGCTCTTGCAGGCTCTCTGTTCGGTGGGGAAGGTCTGGGAGGCTCAGGACCCAGGTCTCCTCAATGAGCCCTAAGAACTGTCCCAGGGTCATCGGTGTGGATGGACAGGGATGGGGAAAGACTTTGTCACCACCAGGGCTGTCACAGGGGTTGCGTGGCATCCAGGAGTGGCCACCCACAGGCCCCTCCTCCCTCCCCTGGCTCAGCCCAGGTCCAGTGGATCACAGGCGCCCCACATGCCACAGCATTGCTGGTGTCCTCTCCCTGCTCCCCAGGAGAAGCACACCTGTCCCCCCTGGCCACATGCCAGCCCTGCTTCGGAGTGAAGAGGGATCAGAGTGGGAGGTGTCTGCAGCACAGTGAGCCAGGATAGGACACGAGCCTGGTCAGCGGCACCCACAGCCCTGCCACCAGGCTGCCCTTCCTTCCTTCCTTCCTTCCTTCCTTCCTTCCTTCCTTCCTTCCTTCCTTCCTTCCTTCCTTCCTTCCTTCCTTCCTTCCTTCCTTCCTTCCTTCCTTCCTTCCTTCCTTCCTTCCTTCCTTCTTCCTTCCTTCTTCCTTCCTTCCTTCCTTCTTCCTTCCTTCCTTCCTTCCTTCCTTCCTTCCTTCCTTCCTTCCTTCTTCCTTCCTTCCTTCCTTCCTACCTTCCTTCCTTCCTTCCTACCTTCCTTCCTTCCCTCCACAAAGCTCTCCTGAGCCCCACTAGGTACAGAGGAGGATGCTCTGGGGGCACGGAAGAGTGGGTGAAATACCCCACCCATGTCCTTCACGTCGGAGGCAGTGGGGGTAGGGAGGGAGCCCTGAGCAAGATCACATGGGGCAGGGACACTGTCACCAGCTGGAGCAGAGGTGCCAGCAACTCGGGGTGGGCATGTCAAAGGAGGAGCCATCAACTCTGCCTGGAAATCCAGAAGGCCTTCTTAGAGGAGGTGGCATATTGAGCTGGGACCTGTTTTGCCTGGACGGCAGAAGGAAGAGCATGGGCAAAGCAGGGAGGCATTTGGGAGGCTGAGCAGATGAGAGCGGGAGGCAGGAACTGCATTTCTCACGGGGCCGGCGTACCTTTGGGGCACAGACACCCCGGCTTTCCAGGTGACAGTCCCCTGTCTGTCCATTAGGTGGCCATACTCAGCTTACCACACCCTCATCGGGTTTGATGTGAGGGTGGCTTCAAGCCGCTTTGATGGGCTTTGTGACATGAGCTGTTACCTTTCCTGGTCACCTGTGGGGTCTCAGATTGCTCTGTGGGGCTGGCAGACAAGTCAAGGCTGATGGTGGGCACATTCCCATGGTGGAGACTTCCTTGTCTCCATTACCCACTCTATGGTTCTGGGAGGAGGCCACCCACAACCCCAGGGGTTGAGCAGAGGGCTCAGGGCTGGTCAGGAGGTGCGGTGTGTCCCTGCCCAGTGTGTGTGTGTGTGTGTGTGTGTGCCCGTGCACACTATGGTTTGGTGAAAGTGTGCAATGCATCATCGTGGCCACGAACCCAGGTCTGAGAATTGTGCTGATCTGGGGCAGATCCATGGCAACGGTGATGGCGGGGCTGGGGCAGCCTAGCAGAGGCCCGAAGGACGGACTGGGGGGTGGGTGGGGCGTGAGCGCACTGCCCTGGACTGTGGCACAAGCTTCCTGGGGCTCCGAGCCCGCACATGGCGAGCGTGCATGGTGCGGGCCTCACAGCTCGTTCCACTGGCTCTGTGCCTGGGAGCATGCTGTGTCTGCACATGCAGAAGGCCAGAGCAGGCCTGGGCACCGTGGCTCAGGACCTGGACAGAAACCCGGAGTGCAGGAACCAGAGAAGGAGACGCAGGGAGGGAGGGAGGAAGTTCGAGGCAAGAAACATGGCAGGGGGGTACAGAGGGACAGAGAGCCCCACGAAGTGCCCACGTGCGAGGACAGGGCTGATGGGCAGATCTGCCAGACATTTCTGGGATGAACTTGGTATTTCCAAAGCCTCCAGGTTGTCCTCATAGAAAAAACGTCAACCAGAACTGTGCCAGCCTCCCTCCCGTCCCTTTCATTGTCCAGCTTTTCTGTCCCCCTTGCTTCCCCATTCCCCACGGAGGCTGGGGAGGCCCCACCACTACAGCCACCACCACCAAAGGTGGCTGTGGGCCTACGGGGTCCTGCTCAGGCCCCACAGAGGGAACATGGGCATGGCCATGTCTTGGGGAGCCCTCACCACCTTCTCCCATCCCAAAGTCCCCCCAACCCTCAGCTCCTGTGTGAGGCCCCTGCTCATCCACTCCCCTGGGGGGGGCACACAGTGAACCCGGGAAGACCCCATCCTGCCTCCCAGCCCAGTGCTGTCCTGGGTGCACGGACTCAAAGAGCCGCCTCCCGCTGCAGCTGTCCCCTGCTGTGGCCCTGGGCCTGACCACCTGCACCCTGGGAAGAGCAGTCCAGCAGGATGGCAGGGCAGAGGGCCAGGACCTTATCCAGCCCCGGGCTGAGGCTTGGGACATGGTGACCTCCCCGCCCCTATCTGAGAGGTCTGAAGGGATTGGGCACCCCAGGATGCAGGCCTAGGGTCCTGAGGATGAGAGGGGGCACTGGGTGGGAAGAGAGGGTGCTGTTAGGCGGGCGTTGCCTGTACCTGTGTCCCTCTCTGTCTGTGTGTCCATTCACCCGTCTCTCCACCCACCCCTGCAGCCCGAGCCTTGAATTGTCACCAGTGCAAGGGCTTCGGAGGGTGCCTCAATGCGTCCAGATGCCCCTGGGGCTCCAACTACTGTGTCAGCATCGGCACCCGTGAGTAGGGGATGCGCGGGGTGGGCCAGCCGTGCCCTCCTTGCCCAGGAGAGGAGACCCAGGCTCAGAGCGGGCAGAGCTGAGCCAGGCTCCCAACAAGTCAGGAACAGGGTGAGGGGAGCATCCACTGACCTCAGATCAGGAAGGGACCCAAGGGAGGGGGCCGGTTACGCCCAGGCTGGGGGACTGACTCTCGGCTTGGTGGCGGGGGGGGCAGGGCGCACGGGCAGCTCAGAGCCTCAGGGAGCTTCTGTCCACCCCAGGAGTCCCCCTCAGCGTCATTGACCTGCCTCTGGTGACCAAATCGTGCTACAGCGGCTGTCCGGACATCCCCAGCCTGGGCCTGGGCCCCGACGTGTCCATCGTCTGCTGCCAGTACAGCCTCTGCAACACCGACTGACCGCCGTTCCCCCTCAGCTGTCCCCCCACTCACAGAGCTGACATGTGCCCAGACCCCCAGGCAGACGCTGCTCCCCAGGCAGCTGAGCCGGGCCACCAGGGCTGGGGAGACGCTCGAGGAGCGTCCCAGGGCAGAGCAGCAGCTCGGAAGAACTAGAGGTGGCCCTGGGCGGGGAGGGGGAGGGGCGCTTGGGGGAACTGGAGAGGGGAGGACGGCAGGAACAGAGCAGACAGGCGCCCCCACCCATGCACAGGTGCATGCGCGCACCCGCACCCCCGCACCCCACCCCACACACTGGGAAACTTAATCATGGCTCCAGCCAGCCTCCAGCTGCGAAGTGGACCAAGACCCCCCCCCCCCCCAGCCAGGGGGCATGGCTCCTCCCCACCACATGACCCCAGGCACAGCGCCCAGCCCTTTCCTTGTTCTTACCCCGGCCACGCTGTCATGAAAGAAAACGTGGAAAGGCCAGTGTGGTGGTGCAGCCACCCAGTGTGGGGGGTAGCGTCCCGGCAGAGAGTGACCCCACACAAAGGCACAAGCAGGACCTCGGGCCAGCAGGGCTGGGGGCACATGGGAGGGTGTCTCTCCAGACCGCGGAGTGCGTCCCCTGGTGCTGCCAAGGGCTGCACGAACCTGAGACACACGGGGAGCAAGAGGCCACATACGGAAGACCGGAAGACCACATTCTCCGTGCTTCCATTTCTTCGAAGTGCTCAGCACAGGCAAATGCGAAGAGGCAGGGAGCCGGCGAGCGGTGGCCAGGGCCTGCTGGGAATGCGCTGCTGCGCGGGGGTGGCAGCCCAAGGGCGGGGGGGGGGGGGGGTTCTTCCTAAGCCTGACTGGGGACGGTCGCAGGACCTGTGAATATACCAGAAACTTCCAGTGGGTGAATTGGATGGAATGTGAAGCATGTCCAATAAAGCTGTTACAAATTAAAAAGAGGGAAAAAAAGTGTTTGAAAGAAAAACCAGTCTGAAAATCCAGACTGAGAACGATTCATGTTTCTTGGAAAGAATATCTAAGTGAAATACATGAAAAAGTACGATACACAAAACTAAAACACAGGAGACAAAGTAAGAAATGCCTGCCATACATGTGAATACCTGTGAACACTAAAGAATACTTCCGAATCCACAAGGAGGAGCAAAGGACCTGAGCAGCAGTTTCGCCCAAAAGGAAATCAACCACACTCAGAGTCAGAAAGGAGCAAAGTCAAAATAGTGTTTCAATCGACGAGTGAGCACACAGGGAAGACAGGGTGAGGACGGGCGGGAAGCCAGCCCGCTGTGTGCCTGGGTGGAGGGGTGCCGCCCCTGGAGGGCAAGTCGCCGCAGGCATGAAACTCTAAGATGCCCCGAGAACTCTGTTGAGTGCTGGGCCCCCGAAATGTCACCAAACCCCTGTGGACGGGAGGGAGTGGCCGCCCACACAGAGCCTGCGCCTCCCCTGCTTGAGGCTCGAGAATCTGGTGAAAGGCAGGGCTCCCAATGTGGGCGCCTGGTGAGGGCTGGGTGAGCACCCTGACAAAGTAGTTCAGGACTCCTAGGCAGGGTTTCTGAGTCTAGAGGTGTAAACAGATGTCTCCTGGTTTTCGCTGAAGAGCGGATGGGCCTTGCACAAAGTTCCTGCATACCTCGTGGAAGGGTCAGGCCGTGGTGGGCGGGGAGTAGAAGCGCTGATCACATGGGCAAGGAGCCCGTGTCGGGGGGACGGCGAGGGTTCCCAGGTGTCCCCAGCTCTGTGCCTCCGAGTGCATGTCCCGCTGGAAGATGCTGGTCACAGCATAGACGGGAGCAGCCTGACTCCTGCTCATACACAGGTGGCCATACAGTAGGGCACATCCACATCTGGGTCCTTCAGGAAGCGCATGGCAGAAAGGGCTGCCTCGGGGAGAACGCTACACCCCGCACTTCCTTCACAGGGTAGAAACGTGAGCTTAGGAGTCATCGGTCTACTCTGCTGGACCCCACAGGGGAACAGGTGACCAGGAGCCGAGGACACCCCTCTGCCTTCCTGGGTTTGGCACACTGCCCAGAGGAGGCCACCCACAGGCAGCTGGAGAGGAAGCCTAGCGGGTAGATATGCAGCAGCAGAGGAGCTATAACCCTGGTCACACGCCGAGCCCTGATCCTGGTCACACACTGAGCCTGATCCTGGTCACATACTGAGCCTTGATCCTGGTCACACTCTGAGCCCTGATCCTGGTCACACTTTGAGCCCTGACCCTGGTCACACTCTGAGTCCTGACACCTGGTCACACTCTGAGCCACGATCCTGGTCACACGCTGAGCCCTGATCTTTGTCACACTCTGAGCCCTGATCCTGGTCACACTTTGAGCCATGACCCTGGTCACACTCTAGCCCTGATCCTGGTCACACGCTGAGCCCTGAACCCGGTCACAGTCTGAGCCCTGACACCTGGTCACACTCTGAGCCCTGACCCTGATCACAGACGGAGCCCTGATTCTGGTCACATGCTGAGCCCTGATCCTGGTCAAACTCTGAACCCTGATCCTGGTCACACCCTGAGCCCTGATCCTGGTCACACGCTGAGCCCTGATCCTGGTCACACGCTGAGCCCTGATCCTGGTCAAACTCTGAGCGCTGCCCCTGGTCACACTCTGAGCCCTGCCCTCGAGGCTCCTAGTAGAACTGAGGGGTGGTTGGAGACCTCTCAGCGTGGAGGCATCCTAGACAGAACCCATCCAGACTCTGACTGAGCCACATTTCTCTCCTACCTAAGTAGACAGGTGCAACTTTGCAGTACGGTTCAGCCTGGCTACCCAGGGATCAGGCAGAAACTGTAGGAGGAGCGAATGCTCAGGGGTCAGGGGTGTGTTCCAGGTGGAAAGCACGGGTGGGGCCCTTGGGTCCGAGAACAGGAGTTGGGCTGGTATGGGCTGCAGCAATGGAATTGGGCTAGACCGGAGGAGGAAGTTAGGGTGTGTGCAGTGGGTGTCTAATCCAGTTAGCTGCATCCAGCATCAGCGCCCAGTTGCAGTGTGGTGGCGTAGTGAAGTGTAAAATCAGACAAGCCCGGTTGCTGCTTGCTTTTCCTCAGCCCACGCAAGGTGATCCGCCCAAGTCAGCAGCTGCCAGGAGCATCTGATCTTATATCCAAAGTAGAGTTGTTAGTGTTGTGTGCCTCCAGAGCCATAGCAAGGAAAATAGACCCAGCAGAGGATGTGGCTGACACAGGCTGGATGCTACAGGAAAACACAAGCCTCGCCCTCAGGCTCCACCCAGTGCCCAGGGAGGCTCAAGCCCCTTCAGTTCCCACATGGAGCTGATCTCAAAGGAAAGCCAAGGACCATAAAAAGGCTGTGGGATGGGGGTGGGGGGAGAGTGCCCAGACAGAGAATTTCAACCATAGGAGGGCGGGGAGGGATGGGCATCCCTGGTGACAGGAAGAGCAGATGCAAAGTCTAGGATGGGAGTAAGATTTGGACCCTCTGAGAGAAGATGGAGGAGTTGGGCGGGGTTGCAGTGTGGCCCCAAGTGAGTCTGGGCACCAAGGCCTTGACTGCCCAGCTAGAGACCCTGGGACCTGTCAACAACCCTCCCCACCCCACCCCAGGGTTCACCCTGGCAGCTGTGGGCTTGGTGGAGGGTGTGACTGGGTTACAAGTAAGGACATCCTGGGGAGGCTGAAGTGCAGGCACTCTGGGGGAGGGGAGTGCCTGTGTGCATGTGTGTGCACATGCGTGTGCATGTGCGTGTTGGGGGGGGACCAGTGGCTGGAGCCACACTTCAGTCCTGTCTGGGCCCTGGGCAAGGACCTTCCTGTCAATTTCCTGACCTACAATGGGGCCAAGAGAGCCCTGCCCAAGGGGCAGCCCCTTTGGCTTCCTTAGAGACCAAGGGGTACCTGCTCCTTCAGTGGACACCGGGGTTAGTGTCCCCAAGGCGACCCTGGCCCCTCCCCACCTCCAACCTCCATCCAGGACCTTTCTGTTGACCCAGTACTTTTCCTGTCTTTGTGCCTATAAGCCTCTGAGTACATTTTGGCTGTTTGTCCAGGCAGCAATCTGTCCCTATATCACTATGCCCCACGAGACTACCTCAAAGGAGCTGGGGGTGGGTTGTAGGGCACCCTGCTAGCACTGAAACCCAGGACTACTAGACCCAGACTCTTCCCTGGAGATAGGCCTGGGGACCTAAGTGGGAAGGGTGCCCAGCAGAGGCAGAAACCAGGGTGGGGGTAGGGGTGGAGGAGGAAGGAGAAGGTGGGGAGCCCAGGTAAGGGGGGTCACGGAGGGAGGTGAGGGCCCCCAAACCATAGAGAGGGGCCGTCAGGGCCGGGGAGGGACCCCAGGCTGTGGGAGGTAGAGGAAGGGGCCAGGGAGGTCAGGAGCAGTACCCACAGAGGAATGGGGCATCCAGTGGAGGCGGGAGGGGCCCCAGTGGGTGGAGGGGGGCGGGTCTCTGCACCTCTGCCGCCCCAGAAAACCCAAACCCACTAATCAGCTTGGCTGACTGGTTGGGCGGCTGCACTGGGTGTCCGCTGTCCCTGCGGGCAGGCCGAAGGCGAGCGGGCCGTGGAGCGGTGTGAGGACTGGACCATGAGGGGCACACAGCTGGTGCTAGTGGTGCTGCTGGCGACCTGCAGCCGTGAGCTCGGTGAGGGGCGCAGGCAGGGGGGCCAGGGAGTGGAGGAAGGCGGGGAGACCGAGGCGGGGTGGGGAGCGAGCGTGAGCCGGGGGGAAGGGAGAGGAGGGCATGGTACCAGGGGGCCGCCCCCCAGGGCTGGGGCAGCAGCAGAACCGCGTGTCCCTGGGGGCCGTGGGCACCCCGGAAAGGCTTTAGCTGGAGAGTCATGCTCCCTGGTTCAGGGGCCATGGTGGAGGCAGGCCTCAGGGGGTGTCTTGGGGAGACCAGAAAGGCGCCGGGAACTGGGGCTGACAGGGGGTCCGAGAGAACAACTGGGGGAGACACCCCAGCCCCTCGGGGCCCCCACGTGCAACCAGAAAAGGAGCTGGGAAGAGGGGGCCCCAGCCAGAGGGGAAACTGAGGTCAACCCGAGACGCAGTGACACACAGTGGGGGAAGAGGAGCCTGTGGCCTCACTGTGCACGGACCAGCTGGCGCCAGTCAGGCTCACCGAGGCTGCTGTGGTGGGGTGGGACACAGAGCGGTGCACCCTGGGGCCCCCGCCCCTGCCGGCCCACACCCCAACCTGTCCGGGGCCTTGCGGCTCTTCCCTCCTTTGTTAAGCTGGCACCCGTGGGTGCCCCAGGCCCAGCCCGGTCCACCCTGCACCCCACACACCTCCTTGTCTGTTCCTGATGCCCACTGCCGCTCTTTGGGTGCTGCTCTTTGCTGATCAGGACCCCAAGGGGGTGTCCAGACACACCGAGGCCCTCCCTGACCCTGCCTCAGGAAGCACCTCCTTGATGCTTCCAGAGCTGTCCCCTCCGCACCTTGGCCCTGCAGGCTGAG